TTATTAATGAACAAATTCAACCCACTGAAGACACACCAATTAAAGAATTTCATTCGGACTATTGTGAAACACCAAAGATTCCAGTTCAAGCAGATGAAGTTGAAAATGGTGAAAGCAAACTTTGTCGAATATTACAGTTTTGTGGTAATGTTCGTAGAAGATTATCATTTAGTTCAGAGAGTGATTGTTTTTTTTAAATTCTTCAGTTTGACCTTGACCTAATTGTTTGGGCACAGTATTACGCTTAAACAATATTCTATGACTGAATTGGTCTTAAAAATGGTACTTTATCATAAATGCTATATTAGATTTAATTATGAGTACCTAAAATGATTTGGAATATTAACAATAGATAAGGGTTTCATAAGAAAAACTAAACATAAAATTCAAGCACATTTTATTTTTGTCTAAATAGAAAAAACAAATAATGACAAAATATAAACAATATTGTAAACAGTTTTTGTATTGAACTAATATGAAGTAAATTTTTTTTGGCTAAATAAATGCTATTTTGATTTAATTTGAAAGTCCAGGAATAATTTAAAGTTTAAGTATAAAGATAAGAGTTCAAAAACAATAGAATATATATGGAGGAATTAGCCTGAGAAAGTTACTACAAATAAGTATATATATATATTTTACCTTGAATTGTTAAGTTATACAGCATGGCATTGAAGAAATGTAATCTTTATTGTACAAAATGAACGATTAAAATGTTAAATATAACTTGGTCTAAATATATTATACACAAAACTTTAGGAACACATTATTAGGTTATGACAAATGTGTTCCTAAACCTTTACGATAAAATAGGTTGAAAAGCTCAAGGTCACTCTTTGAATGCAAAAATTGGGAACACATTTGTTATGATACAACAAATGCGTTCCCAATTTTTGCATACTAAAGGAAAATCAAGAAAATAATAAAATCAAGTTGAAACTAAAAACCAATTTACAATGTTACTGACACCAATCCCGAAGACCGATCACGAATTAAGTAGTATCGGTGTGGTGTATTCGGGATGGTCATGCCTCTAGGTAATTTAAGGCGGAACCTGTCATTTCCTTCTTTTAAAATGACTTCACCACTAGGTGTCATAATTAGAATTTCTAACTTTCTGTTTTTAGGCAACCTATTATTTCTGGTTTTTTTGGCAATAATTTGTGGTGGACGACAGGGTCGAGCAAAGCCTGACGTCCGTGGTTGGCTGGGTAAAATCTTGTCTATCACAACAACACGGGAGGTGCTCGGTGCCGGATCAGATAAGCAAGATTTTTCCTGAGCCTGAGTTTTTACAATAATTGATGGTCTTTCAAATGATGGAGGATTTACTGTGACAGGATTATTATTAATAATTTTAGGTTGGGCGGGTACCATCCTGCTTTTCCCCTTAGTGTGGAGGCTACACACATTGGTATCGGAAAAGCAGGATTTTTCACAACGCTCACCTTTTTTCACCCCTTTTTGGAAAATATAAGTACATTGCGACTTGATCTTAAATGCTGCTCGTCTTTTTGCCATAAGTTTTTGCATTTTTTCAGAAGGGGTTTTTTGTGAGGGAATGGATTCTTTTGAGGACTCGGGTTTAGCAAATAGTTTTCTTACAACAGCAGGTGCAGCAGGGAGGGATTCGGGTGGAGGTAATGGAATGGTTATTTCAGGAGAATCTATGTTGGTAATCTGGTTTGAGGATGGATTTAAATTAGGAAGAGTTAGGTTAGGTGTTTGAGGTTTTGGAGATGACTTGTGTTTTGAGAGGTTTTGAGAGGTTTTTACGTAGATGTGGTTCTACGTCCTTCAGTGATACATTTTCACCATCTTTATGTACTCAGCCCCAGGACATCTTGCCACAACAATCTGGACTGCAAGTAGTTTCTACACCCAAGGCCCCGGAGATGACTATGGACAGTTTCCCACATCTGAAGAGACCTCAACTTAATAAGTCTTTTTTAGAAACATTTAGCCAGACAAGATTAACTCTTTCAGATTCTCCAATCAAAGCCCCGCCTCTGAGTTCAAACCCTTCACCATCTATCATCTAAATATAAGAAGTGCTCGTTATAAGGTTGTTCAGCTGTGTTCTGGATGGGATGAGCCCCCTGATCTGTTGTGTTTGTCGGAACATTGGTTAAGAGAAAATGAACAACTCATAATTCAAGGCTTTTCATGTGTATCGGGGTTTTGCAGGAGGTCCCTTGGTGGAGGAGTTGCTATCTTCATGAATAATATTTTAGCTGGCTATTATTCAATTCTATCTAGGGCGTCTTTGGAAGTAAAGTATTCTGACTCAAATTGCTTTGAATGTGCCATTGTAACATGATTTCCAAATTCTAAAACCTCCACGAATAACATTCCTAACATTTCTAAATTCACTGTGGTTTGTATCTATAGACCACCTCAAAACAGCGAGCTAAACTTTTTAAAGGTCTTTGACAGTCTTCTTGATGACATTCTAAAGCTGGATTCAAGAGTTGTAATCTGTGGAGACTGGAATGTGAACTTTTTGGACACTAGAAACTCCACTGTTAGGGCTCTTCGCAATATATTTCGATCATATGATCTGAGGGAATATGTTGATAGACCTACAAGGAATTTTTCTCTTTTGGATAATGTAGTATCAAACTTTGTTTCAGACAGTGCCGAGTGCATATCATTCTTCAGTCCTCTTTCTGATCATAAGGCTCAATTGTTTTCTTTAAAGATTCCCGTAGCTGTAAATACGTCTTATATTAAAAAGCGTTTTTTCAGTATACATAACATTGAAAACTTCATTTCTCTTCTTCAAGGGGTTGATTGGGAATTTTTCTGTAAGGAAAGTGACATAAACGTTGCATTCGATCTTTTTATGGACTGCATCAAGCAATGTTTTTTCATGGCTTTTCCTTTGAAATGGGTTCGAGATGACAAATGTCGAGCTGGAAAGTTCTCAATCATTAGGGATCTAAAATCCATTGCAAATAACAATGTTGACCTTGGTATTCTGGCTCGTGAATTGCAGGATCCTCAACTCATGTCACTGTTCAGAAGGAGGCAAAAACAGTTTCGAAAACTTATAGCTGTCGAAAAAAAGGCCAAAAAAGGTAAAGAACTTGCTGAGAGCAAATGCCCGCAGAAAAAGGTCTGGGAAATAGTTCGTAGGGAAACCAGTGAGTCTCATTTTAGCAGAAAGGTTCCACCACTAATGAGGAATGGCGAATTGGTCCGCTCACCAAAGGAGGTGGCTAACATCTTTAGTAAACATTTTACAGGCTTAAATCATTCGTGCTCCACAACGAACAGACCAATTCAACGCAATGGAAGTGTCATTTCAAACAAAGTTTGCATCTCCATGTTTTTGCTCCTATTTCTGAATCTGATGTTGAAACAGCCATACTTTCTCTTAAAACCAAAGTATCTTCTGGCATTGATGGTATTTCGAGTTCTTTGCTGAAGCAGGCATATAAAAACAATCTTAAAGGCAACCACAATCCTTTTCAACAGATCACTCCAATCAGGCATTTTCCTAAATGTTTTTAAGATTTAAAAAATAATCCCTGTTTTCAAAAAAGGCAGTAGAGGTAATGAGGACAACTATAGACCAATTGCTCTTCTTCCGACACTGTCCAAGGTTTTAGAGAGGCTAGTCCACGACAGGCTTGTATCTTTTTTAGCTAAGCATGAATTAATAGCTCCGTACCAGTTTGGGTTCAGGGCGAGTTTGTCTACTACCGATGCTTTAGTCGAATTCACTTCCAAAATAATTTCAAATCTGGAAAATGGTGAACCGGCAGTTGGTTTATTTTGTGACTTATTGAAAGCATTCGATCGGGTCGATCATGATATTCTTTGTCACAAACTTGAATGTTTTGGTATACGTGGAATTCCTCTGCAATGGTTCAGGTCATATTTAATTGGCCGTAAGCAATACGTTGAGGTTGACGCAGAATGCTCTTCCGAACTCGCCGAAGTGAGATATGGTGTCCCTCAGGGCTCTATCCTTGGACCTCTGCTCTTTATTCTTTATATAAATGACGTCGGTGCCTATGATTGTCCTAACTCCTTAACGCTGTATGCAGATGATACCACCATGCTTTTTAAGGGCTCGTCTGAAGTTGTTCAAGAGAACATGTCTTCAACAATTACAAATTTTGATAACTGGCTTTTAAATAATAATCTTCTTTTAAATCAGAATAAAACTAATTATGTCCAATTCCTAACAAGAAACAAAAATCCACTGCATCTTAAACTACCACAATCTTCAATAAAAGAACTTTCTGAAGTCAAGTTTTTGGGCGTTGTTATGGATTCTCAGCTTACGTGGCAATCACATATTTCAGATCTTTGTGGTCATTTAAGCAAGGTGAGTTTTGCCTTGAGAACATTGGTTTCTTTGCTTGATCAGAGGGACCTGATTAATGTTTACCATGGATGCTTTCAGTCTGTTATATCATATGGAATAGAGGTTTGGGGAGGTTCCACACATGCAGACAACGCATTTACGGAACAGAAACGAGCCGTTCGTATTTTATCTGGTCTCCCATCCTTGCACTCTTGTAGGGGTGTTTTTCGAAATCTTAACATACTCACACTTTATTCTCTATATGTTTTTAAAGTGGTTCTCTTCATCAAGAATAAAATTGGGTCTCTTCCTGCTGTTGGAGATAGACACAGGTATCCCACCAGACATGGCTCAGATCTCCTTCTTCCACAAATCCGCCTGTCCCTGTCTGAAAGAGAAACTTTTACAGCGGGTATAAAGATGTTTAACCGTCTTCCAACCAGCATAAAGGAATGTTATGGCGAAAGAAAGTTTAAAAAATGTTTGAAATCCTACCTTGTACAAAAAGAACCGTACAGTTTTATAGAATTTATGTCTGGCTGATTGTATCTTTTTTTATTGTATCTTTTTTTGATATATTGTCTATCTTATTTATTAAATGTTATTATTCTAGTTCTTATTGACGACTGAGATGTATAATTGTAAAAAATTGTACCTATTCAGAAAATAAATGACTTATGACTTATGACTTATCTTTGTTAGGAGATGACTTGTTTTTGAGAGGAGACGGCTTATCTTTGGGAAGAGATGGCTTTTCAGGAGATTTGATAGGGGATAGTAAGGAGACAATCAAGGGAGAAAGTAGCATTGATAGAGGGGAGGTATTTCTTTGTTTTCGGGGGGATGACGTAGAAGACGAGGATGAGGATGATGAAGACAAGGAGTCAAAAGATGATGAAGAAGAAGACGATGGCGATGATGGAGGCCTAGGTTTCAAAGTGTTGGCAGCAGAAGAAGAAGGTCCAGAAGAAAGTCCAGGCTCTTGAATATTCTTGACGATAGAAGTTGACAATCCAGGCTCTGGAGAAATCTTGGAGACAGGCAGAGGCTTTGAAGTGTTGGCAGCAGCAGAAGAAGGTCCAGAAGAAGTGTTGGCAGCAGCAGAAGAAGGTCCAGAAGAAGTGTCAGAAGAAGGTCCAGGCTCCTGAATCGTCTTGGAGACAGTACATTCTTTCCTTATTTCCCCATTCAATGCCTGGAGAAGCTTGGACCTTTTCACTCCAGCCACCGGCTTCATCGGCTTAGTGGTCTTTCTGAAGCAGGGGTCCATGGCTCTTCTGCAGGCAGGCAACAGAATGATGTTATTAACCAAAATGCTCTCACATATATACCCACTCCAAGTGGTGGGGGATATAGGTATAGGACAGAGTGGGGGAAGTTAGGAGTGTTGTAAAAGGGTGGGGAGTGGGAAATAATTATATCTAATAGGAAGAGTTTGGCTATGGATTGAGAAACAATTTTCAAAGATAAAGTTTCAACTAACCAATCATAAAAGTAGGTCAAGGTCATCCTCTATTGAAAAAAAACCGAAAGCCATGCAAGAAAAATAGTAGTGCAAAGATTCAAACTACCAACACCAAAACACAACTACTGGTGCATAGTATCTACAAGACTATCTACAAGTAAGTCTACAACAGTACATGCATGAAGAACCCGAAAATGATTAGACATATAGAAAAGATTTGACTAGGGAATAAACAACAAAGTGTAACTGGCTTGGTACCCATTTTACACTTTAAGGAAACACATCAGGTTTTCATGCCTCTATGTGTGTTAAGGAAGGATAGAGTTTAACCTGAAAATGATTAGACATATAGACAAGATTTGACTAGGGAATGAACAACAAAGTGTAACTGGCTTGGTACCCATTTTACACTTTAAGGAAACACATCAGGTTTTCATGCCTCTATGTGTGTTAAGGAAGGATAGAGTTTTACCTGAAAATGATTAGACATATAGACAAGATTTGACTAGAGAATGAACAACAAAGTGTAACTGGCTTGGTACCCATTTTACACTTTAAGGAAACACATCAGGTTTTCATGCCTCTATGTGTGTTAAGGAAGGATAGAGTTTAACCTGAAAATGATTAGACATATTGACAAGATTTGAATAGGGTATGGACATATAAGTACAATTGGTTTGGTGGCCATTTTGCACTTAAAGGAAACACATCAGGTTTTCATGCCTCTATGTGTGTTAAGGAAGGATAGAGTTTAACCTGAAAATGATTAGACATATAAATTGGAGGTCAACCTGCAAACAAAATAAACAACAAGTTAGTTAACCAGATAACAAAACAAGTGAATATAGTAATGCAACAACAAGTTAGTTAACCTGAAAGGAAAAAACAAGTAAACATAGCAATTCAACAAAAGATTAGTTATTATTAACCTGAAAAAGAAATGAGCTGATATATGAATGCGGGCCCAACATTGCATAAGTTAGCTCACCGTTCATCACTTGATGTGCAGCTTGCTTGTGCACATGATGTGTACCTTGCAAGAGCACGTGATGAACAGTGAAGTTTGAAAGAACTCCAACTAGTTTTATGCGCTCTGGTGGGGGGCCGGGCTATATGGGGGTGTGGTCTACTCAGCCAATCACAGGACAGGTGGTGTAGTGGGGAGGGCTCACTGGGGGCGTGGTCTACTCAGCCAATCAACGGACAAGTGGTGTAGTGGAAGTCTCGCAATAATGAAGCAAAGGGGGGGGGGTGTAACTAACACGTGCAGCTACTAATCATATTTGTATCAATCCAAAACAATATACATGCTTAAAACTGATGTAAAGTCCATTAAAAGGTATAAGTTGTTGGCTTAAGAGTGGTATATAATCAGAGAAACAATTTTCTTCAGGCCTCAAGAACAAGATATTAAATCAATTGAATTACTAACCAAGCTAATTACAATATGAGAATACAACAACATTTAGCAGTACACCAATATGTAACCCATGCAATATATTTAATTATACATGTAGATTTCAACTAATATATCACATCATTTCAGCTATGCAAACACAATATGGAACAGAGAATAATAAGACCTACCTATTTCAGTAGAAATCAGGAACACTTGGTGTATAAAGTTAGGCCACGATAACTCTAGAAAAGAAAATGCACATTAAATTTATTAAGTATTGTCACAAATTTATGCTTTTATTTTCAAAAAAAAAATCTTAAGCAAGCTATATTTTAATTTCAAATCATCAAAAGATACATAAAACGGTTTTGTTATTGATCAAAGACCTATCAGATTGTTTTCAAACCATTCCCAATAACAATCAAATAAGGAAATCAATGACAGTATTTTCTATCTTAAACAATCGTATAGGAATCATCTTCATCAAGCTACATTTTAACAAAGTCAAAATTCAAACCTTTGAATGATCACAAAAACAGTTTTATTACTGTCGCAAGAAGGAAATAGCTATCAGTTATTTTCAATCATATACAATTGCAATTCCCAATAAAAATCACTAACATTATTTCCATTATAAACAATCGTATAAGGAAACACCTACATTTTAACAAAGTCAAAAACGTAAAATTAATCAAAAGATCACAAAAACTGTTTTATTATTATTTAAAAACCTAGCAGTGTGAAGCAATTCCCAATAAAAATCAAACAAGGAAATCACTTACAGTATTTTCTATATTAAACAATCGTATAAGAACCATCTTAATCAAGCTACATTTTTACAAAGTAGAAATTCAAACATTTCAATGATCACAAAAACAGTTTTATTACTGTCGCAAGAAGGAAATAGATATCAGTTATTTTCAATCATATACAATTGCGATTCCCAATAAAAATCAAATAAGAAAATCACTAACATTATTTCCATTATAAACAATCGTATAAGGAAACACCTACATTTTAACAAAGTCAAAAACGTAAATTAAATTAATCGAAAGATCACAAAAACTGTTTTATTATTATTTAAAAACCTAGCAGTGTGAAGCAATTCCCGATAAAAATCACTAACAGTATTTTCTATATTAAACAATCGTGTAAGAACCATCTTAATCAAGCTACATTTTAACAAAGTCGAAATTCAAACCTTTGAATGATCACAATAACAGTTTTATTACTGTCGCAAGAAGGAAATAGCTATCAGTTATTTTCAATCATATACAATTGCAATTCCCAATAAAAATCAAATAAGAAAATCACTAACATAATTTCCATTATAAACAATCGTATAAGAAAACACCTACATTTTAACAAAGTCAAAAACAAAAATTAAATTAATCGAAAGATCACAAAAACTGTTTTATTATTATTATTATTTAAAAACCTAGCAGTGTGAAGCAATTCCCAATAAAAATCAAACAATCGTGTAAGAACCATCTTAATCAAGCTACATTTTAACAAAGTCGAAATTCAAACCTTTGAATGATCACAAAAACAGTTTTATTAGTATCGCAAGAAGGAAATAGCTATCAGTTATTTTCAATCATATACAATTGCAATTCCCAATAAAAATCAAATAAGAAAATCACTAACATTATTTCCATTATAAACAATCTTATAAGAAAACACCTACATTTTAACAAAGTCAAAAACATAAATTAAATTAATCGAAAGATCACAAAAACTGTTTTATTATTATTATTATTTAAAAACCTAGCAGTGTGAAGCAATTCCCAATAAAAATCAAACAATCGTGTAAGAACCATCTTAATCAAGCTACATTTTAACAAAGTCAAAATTCAAACCTTTGAATGAACACAAAAACAGTTTTATTACTATCGCAAGAAGGAAATAGCTATCAGTTATTTTCAATCATATACAATTGCAATTCCCAATAAAAATCAAATAAGAAAATCACTAACATTATTTCTATTATAAACAATTGTATAAGAAAACACCTACATTTTAACAAAGTCAAAAACGTAAATTAAATTAATCGAAAGATCACAAAAACTGTTTTATTATTATTATTATTTAAAAACCTAGCAGTGTGAAGCAATTCCCAATAAAAATCAAACAATCGTGTAAGAACCATCTTAATCAAGCTACATTTTAACAAAGTCAAAATTCAAACCTTTGAATGATCACAAAAACAGTTTTATTACTATCGCAAGAAGGAAATAGCTATCAGTTATTTTCAATCATATACAATTGCAATTCCCAATAAAAATCAAATAAGAAAATCACTAACATTATTTCTATTATAAACAATTGTATAAGAAAACACCTACATTTTAACAAAGTCAAAAACGTAAATTAAATTAATCGAAAGATCACAAAAACTGTTTTATTATTATTTAAAAACCTAGCAGTGTGAAGCAATTCCCAATAAAAATCAAACAAGGAAATCACTAACATTTACTTCCATCTCAAACAACCATATAAGAAAGAAGCAATTAATAATTCATCAAATGATCACAAAAAGCAGTTATGTTACGATTTTAGACCTAACAGTATGTGAGGCAATTCTCGATAAAAATCATATAAGAAAGAAGCAATCTATTCCAGCTATATTTTACTAAAGTCAAAAAACATAATTTAGAAGTTATCAAATGATCACAAAAAGCAGTTATGTTATGATTTAACACATAACAGGATGAGAGGCTATTCTCAATAAATATCACTAACAGTTTCTTCCATCTTAAAAATTTGAATCGAACTATATCTATATATAAAGCCAAAAGCACCCATGAACTTTTGAGAAAACTAAAAGTCACACCCCCCATTATATTAGCGGGAAGTCTCAAATCAAAGAAATAAAATTACCCAAACTTAAATTACACAACACAGGCTATCAGTAAGGCAACAGTTTTCTTTAATTCTCAATGCTGTAAAAACTTTGTTGTAACATGTTAACTCAAATTGAAGCAGATCGTTTAGCATTCATTAGAAGTTATCAGTTAAAACTAAAAAAAAGTTTAAAAATAATGTAGGCAAACCTTTTACAACACAAAAAGAGATATTTAAAATTATTTTGTAACAAGTGTTTAAACAACTCTAAGATGTAGCTAGAATTACTCAAATTGAAGCACGGGTTCTCTAGTACTAATATAATAATTGTTATAAATATATGCCACAAGAAAGATTAATTGCCTGTATGAATAAAATCTATTACAAAATATGAGACATACGTTAAATGATTAAGCAATCTTAATTCAACTGTCTGATATTGAAAAACTACTAATTTAATCTATATAGAAATTTTCGTAAAACCATAAGCTCAACAACAAAACTCAAAATATTTTCCATACAAATAGCTTTATGTATTTAAGGTCTAAAACAGTAAGAGCTA